TCCTCTCTCTCTCTCTCTCTCTCTCTCTCCTTTTTTAAATGATACTGGGGATTGAAGCAGGCAAGCCACATCCCCAGCCCTTTTATTTTTTTTTGAGACGGGGTCTTGATAAGTTGCCCAGGCTGGCCTCATGATAAGTTGCCCAGGCTGGCCTCCAACTTGTGATCCTCCTGCCTCAGACTCCCAAGTAGCTGGGATCTCAGGCGAGTGCCTAGCACCTGGCCTCCTCATCTTTCATTTATTCATGTAAAACCCACTGCTGAGCTCCCGTGCCAGCACTCCTTGAAGCACAGGAAGAAAGAGACAGGAAACATCCTTCGCCTTAATGGAGTTTACACTCTGATTAAGGAACTATAAAAACAAAATAAGTATAAAGGGTAATGCTGGGTGGGGGGGGGGCAGGCCTTGTGTAAGAGGCAGACAGTTCCAGTTCTGCAAGATGGAAAGTCCTGCAGCTCTGTGGCCACCACGGGAAAGCACTTACCGCTACCAAAGGGTGTCCTAGGCGTGACAAAGGTGGCCCGTTGTGTGCCAGGCTTTTTTTTTTTTTCCAACCACAATAAAAAGCTAAATTTGAAAAATGAGAAACGATGTCCAGTAGTAACCAGAGCCATGAGAAAGAAAAAGCAAAGTCATGGGACAAATAATGGCAGGGTTGGGCAGGGGTGGTGACGTGGGCGGTGGTCAGGGAAGGACGCCCTGAGGAGACCAGAGGTGAGAGAGGTGGGCCCAGGGCTGGCTCCCGGGAAAAGCATCCAGGCAGAGGGAACAGCATGGGCAAGGTCCCTGTGGCAAGAATGCTCTTGTGGTTCATGGAAGCTCAAAGGCCCTCTGACCAGAGCAGAATGAGTAAGGCGGTCGGAGAAGAAGCAGGAGATCAGACACGAGTGTGACAGGATGGCAAGCCCCAGGAGGGCCTTCTCCCGGTGAAGCAGTGAACTGAGCCTGGCGCCCTTGGCTGTGTGACTCAGCATAGGCAGTCACCCTCTCTGAATCTCATTCTACCATCCTCTGCCTGCTTGGAGAGTGGCTGCAAAGAGCTTGTGGACTAGTGGGGGCCAGGATCCCAAGAGAACAAGAAAAGGGTCCTCCAAGAGCCCCTAGCCGTCACGAGCTTTGATGGCTTCTTTCATATCCATAAAGAAACCTGCTGAAAACCAGTTCTTTGGTACCTCCCTCCCCCAAAGGAAGCAATAAAAGTGTCTCCAGGGAAATCTCAGGACATTTAAAGTAACCTCTTTGCTCAGGATGCAGCTACAGGACAGGGACAGCCCCAAGCCTGGCTCAGCAGGAAAGCCTGAAATACACCAGCTCCACTCCTCTAGGATGTAGGAATTCCTGGGTAAGGAAAGTGAGGCTCAGAGAGGTACAGAGACTGTCCTGAAGCCACACAGCTTTCCAGGATCATGACTCCAACCCTGTGTCCTTAACCACCTCATCTCTGAGGCCTGAGGCCGGCCTGGAAGAGCCACAGGGCCACCAAAAGGCAAGGTTCTCCCGAAGTCAAACCTTCCTGGGGCAGAGGTCAGTCCCAGAACCCTGGAGCGTCTGGGTGGGAAGGGACCTAAGCCATCCTGTGACAAGCTCCTTCCTCACTGGACAGACTGAGAAATGCAGGCTCGGAGTCAGGAGGGGATTGCCCCAGGTGACCTAGGACACTATGACCCATCCTAGACGGTTCCCCAGGACCCTGGACCCCTGGGCTGGGTTTTGTCCAGAAGACGGCCATTCCTAGGTCTGTCCCCATCAGCAGGCCCCAAAAGGCCAGGAAGCTCCTCTTCTCCTGGCTGGCAGGACAGGGACAGAGCACAGTCCCGGGGCAGGGGGAGGTGCCGAGGCGGCCGCTCTCTGCATGCTCCTCCAGTGTTTACGGGGCTGGGCCAACAAACAGCTTCAAATGACAGGGCCCAGGAGCGGCAGAGATCTAAGCCATTATCTTCTCCAAGGCCCCAGCAATTTTGTGGTAGGCACTGACTGCAAGGTGGACCGTGGGCAGTGATTTTGCAGTTTGTGATGGGTGCCCAGTGGGTACGAGGGGGCAGGGAAGGCTTCAGGGGAGCTCCGGGGACCACAGCATCTGAAGGGGCCGCTGGCCGCCGGGCAGGCGGGTTCCCGCAGGACCTGTGTTTATAATGGAGCTCGGGCTATATTTTGATTTGAGAGCCAAATTAATCATTGCTTACAATGCACGAGGAGGAAGCAGACATCACCTCACCGTCGCCCCAGACAGTTTTCCCGTCCGGCGGGGATGCTATTTGGGCTCTGGGAAGGAAAGCAGGGGGGTCCTGTCCTTGCCTGGGGGTCCAGGCGCCAACGCCTTCTGAGACCTGAGGTTCCCCAGCTCCACCTCTGGCCGGGCAAGGCCCCAGCTGCCCTTGTAGTAAGATTGACCTCGACCCCCTGCCCAGAACCGTAGGAGACTTCCCACCAAGATGACTAAGCACCCTGGCAGCCCACCCCAGCCCCTCCAGCCATAGGACAGAGGGTCCAAGAGGAAGAAGCACCCACCAGGTGGCAGGGGGACCTACTGTGCAATACTGCACCAGACCCTGCACCTGTTCAAGTGCTGCTGACTCCGAAGTTACAGGATTCTGAAGCCTATGGCTGGTTTGACACCAACCTCTGTTTGGTGGCACTTGAGGCAGGACAGGGCAGGAAGCACCATTTCTGTACGTCTCATTCATTGGTCCAGTTAACACTCATTTACCAGACGTTTGCTGAGCCCCAACAATGACCACGGCCCTGGGGTAGGTCAGGAATATACTGAACAAAGCAAATTCACTCTTGCCTTCCAGAAGTGGGGGGTGGGCATTAGACACAGAATAAATGGGGTGACGGAGAAGCAGCCAGGCCAGGAGACGGAGCTGCCCCCAGCGAGGGGAGACGGCAGGAGAGGCTGTCCCCAGCGAGGGGAGACGGCAGGAGAGGCTGTCCCCAGCCTGGGGAGACAGCACTGCGCACTGCAGTGGAAGGAGCCGCAGGGCTGGGTGGGAGAGACGGTGGGGGGAGAGCCACTCAGCAGCCGGGAAGCCCAGAAGAGGTTCCCTGCAAGGGCTCCGTGGAACTGGGAGTGCCACTCAGCAATACTGACAGGTCTGCAGAAAGCAGGGTCCCCTCAGGCAGCCACATTCCCCCCAAAACATTCCCAGGGGAGCCCCTTGGCTCCCCCCTCATTGTATCTCAGCTTTGCATGGACAGCGGTCAACTTAGGAGGGCTGGTGAGCTCCAGGGCACCATGGGGAGCCAGGCTGGAAAGACAGCAAGGACATCTCAACCTGAAGACCCATTAGCCACATGCCACGGGTCCCATCTACCTGGGGCCATGGTGGAGGAACACTGAGAGGCCCCTCGTCCTCTCTGCAGCCCCTAAGGCCACCCACTTACCATGGAACCCCCAACCCACGCTGCCTCCTCCTGCCACTTCCTCCACGGCCCTTCCCGTCTCCTGGGGTACCTTGTATTTTCGCTCTTTTCCCTTTTTTGATGTGAGCTCCCGGAGGCAGGGGGTTAGGTCTGTTCGTTTGGCTCAGTGCCTCGTTAGGAGTCAGTACGTCCTCATCAAATGAATAAATAAACGAGCGAATGGGATTATGGTGTCAGCTTGGAGTGACACCAAAGTTCAATGCCCTCCACTGCAAATTAGTACAACCACTCTGGAAAGCAGGATGGAGAGTCCTTAGAAAACATGGCATGGAACCACCATTTGACCCAGCTGTCCCACTCCTCAGTCTATACCCAAAGGTCTTAACATCAGCACACTGCAGGGACACAGCCACATCAACCTTTATAGCAGCTCAATTCACAGTAGCTAAACTGTGGAACCCACCTAGAAGCCCTTCAATAGATGAATGGATAAAGAAACTTGGCATATATACCATGGAATATTAATTAGCATCAAAAGAAAATAAAAATCATGGCATTTTCAGGTAAATGGAGGGAGTTGGACAATATCATGCTGAGTGAAGTTAGCCAATCCCAAAAAACCAAAGCTGAATGTTCTCTCTGATATGTGGATGCTGATCCATAAGGGGGTGGGCAAGGAAAGAAGGGAGGAACTCTGGATTGGGCCAATGGGAGCGGGAGGCGAGGGGGCATGGGGGCAGGAAAGATGGTGGAATGAGACCGACATCATTACCCCAGGTCCACGTATGACTGCACAAATGGTGCGACTCTGCATCGTGTACAACCAGAGAAATGAAAAGCCGTGCTCCATTTGTGCACAATGAAAAGAAATGCACTCTGCTGTCGTGGATAACTAATTAGAAAAAATAAAAATGTTAAAGAAAACCCTCAGTGCTCTGGAGATCAATGAGGATGCTGACCTCACCTCTCCCTCATGTCCCTCGCTCCCCAGGGCTCCCACAGAGATGATGAGAAAAGCCAGCATAGGGCAGAGTGGCCACAGCGGTCACTGGAGGCGTGTGGGGAAGAGACTGCCACGGCCCTCCTGCTGGACCCCGCCACTGGTCAGGCTCTGCTTGCTCCCTCTGTGGGAGGGTGACACCAGCCTGTCACAGGACCAAACTCCTGCGTGTTTGCCTGGGCCAGGGCCAGAGGGGAACTCAGAGCCAGTGGCTTTGTCAAGTGGTTTGCAGCCGCAGGAGGCTCTCCCTCACCTTACAAGGGTGCCTCTCCCTGCTCAGGAGTGGGGTCCTCTGGGCTGGGGCTTGTGGCCTCTGCGGACACATGCTGAGAGCAGGGAGCCCCGGGTCCCCTGGAGGAGCCGGCCCGAGTCTGTTCTCTCCATCTCCAGCCACTTGGCCAGATGTCCACCCCATGCAGAGCGAGCCCACCGCAAGCTGCTTTATGAGCCGGGACGGGAAGGAGCCTTTTCCACTCACACCTTATCCATCAGAAAGTGCCAGAGTCCAGAGGGAACAAGTGGGGAACAGGAGCACCCAGGGTCCCCTGAGCCAGGAAAGGCAACGCCTCCTAGCAGGCAGACTGCCACGGCCCTGTCCAGTGCTGGCCTGAGATGTGAGGCACGGCCTGCTGTGGCCATGGAAAGTGGAGGGGAAGGGGAGGGGGCTGCAATCCTCTAAGACCCTTTTTGCCATGGGGACCCTCACAGCAAGGACAGGTTGGAGCCAGAGTCGCGACAGCTGCCCAGAGGAGGACCAGAAGGCCCAGAGACAGGGTAGCTGCAGCCGAAGCCGGGAGCCAGGGCAGCAGCTCAAGATATGGCCGAGGCCCCTGTGTCTTCTGGTCAACTCATCAACAAGGGGGGTTTTCCTTTCCAAGGTCACCCAGCCAGGAATTGGCACGGGGAGAGGAGAAGAATCCAGGTCCAATGACCACAGAGCCCACCCCCAAGCTCTCTGCTCCTGGCCTTGCTCCTAGGTCCCAGATCCCCAGGCCCTGGGGGCTCAGGAGGGAGACCACTGTCCCTGCCTCTATTTCTGGTAAAACAAGGGACACACAGGCCCAGGCCACTCGGCCAGTGGACAGAAGAGCCGGAGCCAACACAAGTCCCCAACTCCCTCAAGCATCCTCGAGAGTGGCCTTCCTGGGAGTGGCCAAACCCCAAGGAGGAAGCACAGCAAACCAGGGACAGTTCTTGTCACACCTCATTGACCGTGGTGGAATGACCCAGCTCACACCAAGGGCCCCCTCCTCCCAGTGACACGACCCTCAGAAATCTCGCTCACATCCCCCACAGTGTGCCCTGTGCCCCAGGGAGCTGGGCGGGATCCAGGGAGAGCAGGTGACCCACAGCGCTCTGCCTGCAGCCCCAGCTCATCAGCAAGCCCAGTGCCCGGGCGTACCTTTCGTCCCAGAGGTCCCGGATGGCCGGAGAATCCAGGCAAGCCCATGTCGCCCTGCAAGACACAGACAAGGGGGTGAGACGGGGGTGGGAGTGCGACACTCTGCACTTGACCATGACCTCCAAGGCTGGTTGTCTCCAGCTGTGGAGGTTCCTGGGGGCCTCGGAGGAGACCCAGGGCCACGGAGCAGGGTGAGAGCAGAAGAACAGAGTTCCCAGTTCCCCCTCGACTCATCAGCTCCACGAATCCTTGTAAGAACTGGGCCTCGACAGAAGATACCCTCTGGGGAGTGGGTTTGACCCTAGAACCCTGGTTGAAAACCACACCCTGCACCGGTGAGCTTCCCGTCCTGCTCCAGAGACGCCTACCCAGGGCAGGGAGTGAGGGCTGCCGAGCAGGGGGCATGTCCACCACCACCATGAGACCTGAGAGCAGCCGCACAGGGGCAGGAGAGAAGCCCAGGCCCCTGGGTACCAATCCCATTCCACCGTTTACCAGCTGCGAGGTCCCAGGGGGCCCCATGTAGAGCCTCTGTTTTCTCATCTGCAACCTGGGCCCACCTGTCCTGGCTTAGAAGATTGTAAGGAGGACAGATGGGAGTATATGTGGACACCGTCCTGGACCCCAGGTCACCCAGAAGGAGAGGCCTTGGCAGTGAGGATGTGCAGCGCTGAGCCGCATCAGTCGTGAGCTGAAGCACAGCGGGGGCCCTGGATGTCAGGTGGCTCTTGGACCCCGTCTGGAGGGAAGCAGGGCAGGCCCGAGCGGCGTGAGGCTCAGAGGGCCTCAGCCACAGCTCGGGGCTCCCTCTCCCGACCCATCCTGTGCTCTCTGCCTGCAGATCCCCTGGAAGATGGCGTCCTCTGCTCACAGCGCTGCTCCCCCGAAGGTAAACTTGGCAACGTGGGAGCTCCGAGGGCTTAGCCAGGCCCCTCCACCCCCAGAAACCACAGGCCCGTCTGCTCGTGTGAACAGCCTCAGGGGCTTGGAATGTGTGCTGGGAGCTTCCTGGGCCTGGGCTGCCAGGAAAGTTCTAGATGCCAGGATCACCTGGCAGGTCCTGCAGAGAGCCCCACACGTGTGTCCCGGGGAGTCTTTTCCGATTTTCAGGGTGAGCCCTAGCAGCAGGCACGGGAGGGGCTGTGGGCCCAGGATTGGGAAAAACTGCACTTCAAGGGGACTCCAAACCACACCCATGTTCTTAGACCCTGCCACCCCCCGGCCTTCGTCAAGAATGGTCTCTGCCAGGACAGTCCCGCAGGGGACAGCAGGTTCACTACGGTCCACCCCTCTTCCCTCAGCACTGGGGTCCCTGGACCTACCTTTGCCCCATCGAGGGCCTTGCCTGGTGAGAGCCCTGGGTCCCCTTTCTGTCCCTGAAACAGAAACAATTCTGCTTTGGCCACCAAGGCATTTGGAGAGAATGTCTCCCCACAGACCCTTCGATGGCCTCAACGGGTCCCCATCCATCTCCCCACTCACACCCCAGAGGGCCTCCTGCATTGCACTACTCCCCTGCCCCCGCGCCCTCATCACTCCCACTGGCTCCACGTGCAAAGCCCCAACTCCTCCTCCCGGCTCTGGATTTTTCATAACCTGGTCCCATCTTTGCTCTCCTGATACACCAGGCCCACAGGGAGGGTCCCTGGTCTATTCCCGGGACACAGTCTCCGGCTGCGTCCTGCCAGCTGCCAGGCCCAGGCTGTCACCCTCGTAGGAAACCAGTCCCATTGACAGTCATGTTCCTCAGCACACGCTGCAGTGTGTCCTCCCCACCGCAGAGCTCGGGGCCACATACAGGTGACCAGTCTGTCATGTGTGTGGTTGGGACAGTTTCCTGCCCGGCCCCTGGGGCTCTCAGGGCTACTGAGAGTCATGACCAAGGGGCACGAAGATTCTTCTCAGTTTCCCAGCCACTGAGTCACATCTGCACAGGTGGCTCCCTAGGTGACGAAGCGGGCAACTGAAGAGTCACCACCCTGGGACACATCTGAGGAGGAAGAGCCACCTGAAGCCCCGGATGAGGCAGGACTGAGACTCAACCCTGCACTCGGGACCCCCGACCTGTGTTCTGGGAGGCCCTGGACCCCATGAGTTGGGGTAGGCCATGAGCTGGGGGAAACGGACAAGCAGCGGGTCCCCGCCAGAGGCAGGCACTCTGTGCCTAGTGTACGGTCCTCCTAAGGACCCTGGCCCCGGGGAGGCTGGGGCCCAGGGCGAGGGCCCAAGTTCAGCTGCGTCACTCAGAGTGCCCCCCAAAGCGCTCCAGCTCCTCGTTGGTCAAGCCTGATTAAATGACTCGGGAAGCTGCCCTTGGAAAGTCGACCCACCCTATGCCACTTCTAGGAGCTCCCGGTCCCCTTACCCCTCATCCCCTCATTCCAAGCTTCTCTTTGCCTCGGCTGGTCCCAGAGTCCCAAGTCCTAGGACGAAGGCCTGGACCTGCCACGGAGTCACGGTGGAACCCTGGGCAAAGCTCCTCACCTCTCTGAGCCTCAGTTTCCTCGTCTTTTGGATGGGGGCCAGGCGCCTCCCACACACACCCATACACTTCCCGGGTCCCTAGGAAGCCACCCGGGTGTCAAGGGCCACCCCCCAGGGGAAGGCAGCTGGGCCAACTCTACTTAATTCCCATTGGATTCTTTACTCTGTCAGAACTCAGACCTTCCAAATCCAGACTGTGTCACTCTCCCAGGAAATTGTCACTTTCTGAACTGCAAAGAGTTTCCCAGAGCGACGGGAACAGCCTTCCGCTGCTCACCTACTGTGTGCAGACGGTGCTAGGCATGCAGTCTGCATCCACCGCCTGTTCGGGGGTCTGGAGAAGCGAGTCGGCCCGGGCTGAGCCGGCAGGTCGGAGGGACGGCCAGCGACAGGGCTGGATATTTCTCCACACACCGCCCTGCCCTCTGCAGCTCCAGCCCTCAACCGCTCCGGGCGGACGGCCAGCCTGCTGTGCTGGGCCCCAGAACTCAGTCTACCTGGGCCCACCAGGTCGACTCTGCAGAACCCGTCAGGATCTACCTGCCCTGCAGCCGCTCACAGAGGCCCCCCTCAGTAGCTCAGGAGCCCGGCCGCATGCCTTTTATGTCCACCCTGCGAGGCCAGGCCCAGGGCTCGGAGGATTCCCATGGCCAAAAAAGGACTGCAGCTTCCCTCACCCTTCCCGGCCCACCTCAGCCTGCAGCCGGGAGGGAAGCTGGGCTAGACAGGTCACAGGGGGCTCTTCATGTATCCTACTCGGTCATTTTACCCAGAGGGGACACTGAGACCCAAAGAGATGACAGACTTGCTCCCTGGCCCTGGGTCCTGGGTTCTTCAGGGTTTTCCCCCCGGCGTTCTCTGCAGCCGGTACAGAGCTTGAGGTGTGATCCCAGCCCGGGCATCAACGAGAACAGATGTTTACAGAACATCGACTGCAAGCCAAGCCTGGAGGTTTACCCAGGGACTGCCGTGACACAGACCAACAAGCTCGTGCCCATGGAGACTCTCCAGGGAGAAACCAGACAGAGCAGTAATGACAGGAGCACTGGCATTTGTTGAGCCGTCCTCTAAGCCCTGCCGTGTATTAACTCATTCAGTTCTCGAAGCTCAGGGGCAGGAACTGTCACTAACCCCCTAGTACAGAAGGGGAAACTAAGGCAGAGCAAGGCCCATCATTTGTCTGAGGCCAGACGTGCATGTGTGGGATTCCGATGCAGGAGGCTCTTTACACTTCAGCCCGTTGTGGTGAAAAGCCTCAACCATCCATCGGGCAGACAGGAGGCTGGGACAGCTGGCCCCTGAAGTGGTGAGATCCTGCAGAGACTCACGGCTCAGCTGAGGCTGGAGAAGACAAAGAAGAGCCAGCCAGACGAAGGGATGCTCAGGGATGCTCAAGGGACCTCCGGTCGGGGGAAGGGTGGCTTCTGGGACAGAGAAAACTACACGCCTTCCCAGCCAGCCTCCTACAAATGCCTCAGTGATTGATAGAAGCATATATAAAGTCTAACGGGTCATTTACACCTTGGTGACGATGACAATCTGGTCACCAGATGCATCTCTGCAGCCAGCAAGTCCGTGAGACCTCCACCAAGTCACTTTCCCTCTCTGCATGGGGAATGGTGGACTTCTTCACAGAGTTTATGGGACCAGAAGGTCATGGGAACTGTGCCAAGCTCCTTTCCTGCAAGTATAATGGGGAGATGAAAGAATAGAAGGCTCCAGGTGGTCGTGGCCCAGAGAGGGGCCGAGACAAAGGAGGAATAAATAACAAAAGATTGGAAATTCTGGGATTGAAGCCTCCTGTATAAGTCATCTCTGATCTCAAGTACCTGGCACAAGACCTGGCTCAGAAGAAGCACCCTAAAATTGTTCATGAACAAGCAAATGAGCAAATGGGAATCTCAGAAGATGGCAGTAGAGATGGGATTGAGTCAAATCTGATCCAATCCTAGAACTTGCTCTGTAGAGTCCCACTATTTCTAACTAGTATTTCATAAGTTTAGGAATTCTGGCCAATGCAATAAGGCACGAAAAACAAATAAGATGGGCTGGGGCTGGGGCTCAGCAGTAGCACACTTGCCTGAAATGTGTGAGGCATTGGGTTTGATTCTCAGTACCACATATAAATAAATATCAACAACTTAAAAAATATTTTAAAAAGAAAAACAAGATCTACTATCCTTTGAGAGGAAGGAAAAAAAGTATGTCCTTTACAAACTACATTAAGTGCCTGTCCAGAATATTCAGGAGGCCTGACTGAAATGCCAGTAGAACTTATAAGATAATTCAGTGAAGGGGATGGTCATAGATTAAACACAAAAAGTATTAAATATACAAAAATCAGGACTTATCTTCAATAGCTGAGACCAGCTAGAAAATATAACAGGGAAGAATATTCCAATAATAACAGCAGAAGAAACATAAAATTTCTAAGTATAAACTTAAAAAGAAATGTGCAGAGATTATGCAATAAAAGCCATAAAAGTTTACTAAGAGATGTTTAACAAAGTCAACCAAATGGAAGGAAAGCCAAGTGGGTAGACAGAAAAAGCTAACATTTTAAAGATGTAATTCATAAATTAATACATTTATGAATTTAATATAATTCCAATAAAAATCCCATGAGGGATTTTTTTTAAAGAAAATTAAGATGGCCATAAAGTTCATATGGCAGAATTATTTTAAAAGAAGTTAAGGGAGACATATAGTACAAAGATAGCAAATGTCAAATAAAATATTATTTTGTTAACATACAAATATACAAGTGGAGCAATGGAACATAATAGAGTGAAAGGAAGTAGATACTTGTCTCAGAGGAGCAAAGGTTGTTTCCTAAAGGGTTAACTATTACAGGAAGACAATGTTAGAGCCCTGCCTCATACCCCCCACTGAGATTAATTCCAGATGGTTGGAAATTTTTAATATAAATGATATTGTGAAATAACCAGGAATAAAAGTGAATACTTATCTGATCTTCAGATGGAAAAGAAATTTCCAAGCATAAAAGCAAAGTAGGGTTGGGGGTGTAGCTCAGAGACAGAGCAGCGCTTAGCATTTACAGTGGGGCCCTGGGTTCCATCCCCAGCATCAAAAGCAAAAAAGTAAATAATTTTAAACTTTACCTATTGGTAGGTCCCTCTGCAAATCAGCTGACATATGATAAGTTCCTAATAAGTGTTAGCTATTATTTTTAGTTCAAAAAAAGGGGATAATACTTCCATTTGTGAAAATCATCATGAATACTCTTCAAAGGGAAACAACAAATTTTTGTAGAGTAGGTGAAAATTTAATAACCCTATGGATGAATGTAAATGAATTCTACAAGTTGATAACAAATGACAACATCCCAATTCTCCAAATATGCCCAGCCATAAATGGTAAAAGACAAATGAAAATAGACATAAGAAACACATTCACCACAGATGATCAGTGAAATGAAAATAATACTGAATTATCTTCTTTTAATGTTAGCAGCAGCATGAATTGGTTCAGCCTTTCTAGAAGGTAGCTGCTAATGGACTAACTGTTGCATGTTTGTATAGACATTAGGTGGAAGGCATGTTATAAATCATTCACGTGTATGTGTTTGCGTGTATTATGTCTTAATGTATATAAAGATACCCCCATCTCTCCCCATGGCTGAATCCTCAGAACCATGCTATAAGGTATGAAGTATTATTATCCCATTTTACAGATGAGGAAACTGAGGGCCTATATGTTTAAGTACCTTGCCCAGAGTCATCCACCCAGCCAGGGATGGAGCCAGATTCAAACTCAGACACTCTGGCTCTTGGGACCATGCTAGCTATGTTATTATTATGAATTTATCCTGATGAAATAATTAGAGCGTCCACATTCATATACAAATCATGTTCTTCAAGATGCTACTTATAAAAAAAAGTTACTTGTATATTAATAAAAAGAATTTATAAAAAAGGAGATCAGTTAAAGACAACATGGGATATTGATGTTGGCCGGGCCACAAGCCATCAAAGCCCGTGTGGGGGAAGCCAATTTAATAAGCGGGAAGGCTCCTGGTGAATGTCAAGTGGGGAAGGCCAGGCGCAGCTGGGCGCAGCGGGTTCACGGTCACTTGGAGGAGCCAGGAGGGCCCAGCAGCCGGAGGCTGGGTTGCCTTGTGACTCATGTCCTAGAGCCAGCAGCAGATGCTGGGTTGCTGGCTTTGTCACCTACTAAAAATGTAACCCTGGGCAAGTTACCTAGACACCTGGAACCTTAGTTTCCTCACCCATACAATGGGGCGATAACACCTGCCCTACAAAGTGTGTGACATTCTCCAGCAGCGCCTGGCCAAAGCTGCTCAAGATGTCCTCGGTGCTTCTCATGGGCAGGGCCACTTTCCTCTCCATTCCTTCCAGACTCTTCCACACGGGCCTTAATGGCATGACCTACCTCAGTCATCAGAGGAAGGGGAGAGGCCCCAAGGCCTGAGAAGGCGTAAAGCTGCCTCCACCCACTCCCACCAGCTCAGCCAGTGGCCACCTGGTCACCAAGTCCTGCCCCCTGCCACTTTAACTTCCCTGGTGCCCTGAGCCCAGAGTAATTCTGGCCAATTCAGAGCAGAACACTGAGCCAGACCAGCGACAGGGCAGCAGCTGCCTGAGAGCCAAAGCACTACTGCCCCGCCCCACGGGAGCCCCGCCCACTCCTGGCCCCGCCCACTCTGCCCCTGCACAAGGACCCTTGTGAGTCCCACCAGACGGCGGTTCCAGCACCAGCACCCCACCAGGGGAGCACAGGCCAAGCCGTACTTCCTGGACAGCCTGCACGGCCCTCTCACACCTCCCCAGATCACGTCCCTCTGCCAAATCCTTCCCATAGTTTCCTGCTGTTCCTGGGATAAAGTCCAACAACCCACCAGGCCTGCTGCCCTCCCTGGCCTGTCCCTTTCCCTGGTCACCCACTGACCTTCAGAGCGTGGTTCAACCTTCCCGTTCTCCGGGAAGAGGCCTTCACCTCCTAGGTCAGATCATTCCTGGGGCAGCCTGGGCCTCGCCCAGGAGCCCCAGCCCCTAACCACGAGTCTTCTCCATTCATTGATGTGATTGGCTTGTTCTCTTTCCTGTTTGCCTCCATGGTCCACTAAGGCAGGGACCAGGCCTGTCTGCATCCTTGAAAAACCAGGCACATGCCAACGGCTGATCCCTGGGCCAGCCCTGCTGTGCCACAGATGGCCGAGACACTCTTCAGGACAACCTGACACGGCAGCTGCTCTCACCACTCTACCTTTCCAATGAGGAAACGAGGCAAGGGAAATTCACACGATTCACCCAATCACAGAACTCGGAGGTGACAGAGCTGGGATCTGAAGTTGGCCCGTGGGTCTCCAGGGTCTGTGCTCTTAACCACTGTTCTTTCCTGAAGGGACAGCTCTGGGCCAATGGAAGAAGGGCATCCACCCAGGGACTCACCCTGAGCCCCTGGGGTCAGCCACCACGGCCATCCCAGGGGCCAGTGTCTCTGTTTCACACTTGGGGTCCCTGAACTCAGCTCCGGGAAGAAGCTGGTGAGTCCTCCCGTCACTGGACAGGAACAGGGCAGGTGTGGGTTTGTGGCACCTGGGCACAGCCTGGGCTCTGCAGGGGGCAGATGCGGTGGGAGCCCAGCCAGACGGGTTTAGCCGTGGAGCCCAACACAGCTCCTTCCCAGGCAAACCCCCCCAGGGGCTGACTTAGCCTCAGCCACTGCCAAGACAGCGACCCCAGAGGGAACCTCAGCCTCAGACCCTTCACTGCTCCCAACCTCAAGAGCACAAGATCCCTTGCCTTTCCTCAACCCACCTACCTCTCCCCACTTGAGGCTGGCAGGGCACCTTCAGCCCACAAGGGGATTGGTCTTAAAGGCCGAGACCTTGCTAAAAGTGACTGCACCATGGCCAAGTCAGATGAAGGGCCGCTCTGGTGGCAGCCCTGCCTGTTTGGCTGATTTCTGTGTCCACAGCACCTAGTAGGTGTTCAGTGAAGGATAGATGGAAGAGTGGTCCAGAGGCAGCTCTGGAAGCAGACAGCATACAGAAAGCGCAGGGCCTTGGGCAGGCCAGCTCTACAGCCCCACCAGGTCACCGCCCAAAGGCTCTGGTGAATAACAAGGACCCTCGGCAGAATCCTACCCATGCAGATACGTGACACTCATTCAGCCTCGGCCAAGCCACCATTCCATCCAGGGAGACCCTCTGCTTTAACCTATCCTGGTCATGCCACCTTGACATCAAGGACAGCCTGGGCCTCCCACCCTGGTCTGGCCTGGGGCCACCTCTGCTCGCTGCAGGGCTCAGGGTCAAGTGTCCAGGCAAGGGCATGACCCTTACTTACATCCACTTGGCATTTCATCCAAGTCCCCGTGGGAGAAACAGCAACTGATTCCAGTGCATTCTCTGAAACTCTTCTGTGACACACACATTGCTTGACACTCACTCTCTCTATGGCCTGGGGACAGTCCATCAATGGCTTGCATGAAGCCACTTGACCTTTGCAATTGAGTTAGCAAGGAATGACCTTGGGGCTCAGCCAATGAAGCTGGAGTCCTGTCCCTGAGTCTAAGTCCACAGGTCCCAGCTCCAGGCGGTAGCAGAGCTCACCTGCTAGGGACCAGCCTCAGTGGCCACACTCCGAGCTGCTTCTCCAGTGGAGAAAAAGCTGCCAGCAGGCCCCTTCCTGCCGTGGCACGTCTGTCAGCAGGCTAGAGTGGAGTGGGCTGCTGCGAGCCTGGTGCTGAGGCCTGCAGTGCTCAGAGGTTGGCCAGAGGGAGGAGCAGACGGGACGTCGGCTGCCAGGGTCAGGGTCAAAAGCAAAGGGTCAGCCTGGAAGCAGGGGGAGCAGCCCCACACAGAACAGCAATTTAAACAGCTGCTGACCGTCAGCGTGTTGAGACGCCCATGACCTCAGGGAAGCAGACGTCTCCTCTCTCTCCCATCTTTCCCCCTGACCCACGGGGACAGGTTCCTGGACAGGGTTTTTTTGTTGTTGTTTTTTGGTACTAGGATAGAACCAGGGGAGCTTAACCACTGAGCCACATGCCCAGCCCTGTTTTGTATTTTTTTGAGAGACAGGGTCTCGCTGAGTTGCTTAGGGCCTTGCTAAGTGGCTGAGGCTGGCTTTGAACTCTCGATCCTCCTGCCTCTGCCTCCCCAGTCGCTGGGATTACAGGCGTACACCACCGTGCCCAGTCTAGACAGGGTTTTAATGTGTCTGGGTCTCAGCTTATAAATGGGTACAGGACCCCACACTCTATCTCTGGGTCTTTGTGGGGGATCAAATGGGACAAGCCAGGTGGAGTGTGGGCCCAGTCCTGCACATAGTAAGGCTTCAGTGGAAGGTGATGGGGGGTCATCATCGCTGTTTGCCTTATTGGAACCCAGAGCTCCGCAGACAGCAGCTGGACACAGGACAGCTGAGAGCCCCGTCACTCACCTTCTAAGGAGGGGTCTCAGCCCAGCCTGGCCAGGGTCACAGACCAACAGGGACCAAGCCTGCTGCACCCCATGGCAGCTCTGGACAAGGGCTCTGCCCAGGATGCAGGCGGCTTGGATCCGAGCATCCAGGGCTACTTATATGTGGCTTTGTCCACAGCAGACAAGCTGATGGGCGGAGGCGCCTGCTCCTGAGGCGGAGAGCGCAGCCTGGGAGGATGCTGGGCGGCTCGCCCTCCTGGGGCCAGCTAAAGGCTCTCCTTCCGTCTCTGACCTCTGCAGTTAGTTGCATTAGCAAAGCAGGACCTCGGGCCTGAGCCAACCAAAGCCCAGGGGCGCTCTTCACCTGGCCCCGCCACAGTGGACACAGGCAGGCCCAGAGGCCCCTGAGCAGAGCCCCGCAGCTCTTCCTGGCCTGGCGCCCGGGACCCTCCCTCAGCACAGATGCTGTTCTCTGAACTTCAAGACTCTGCATCTTCTTCCCTCCCGCTCCCCATCTCCTGCCATTCCTGAGACTTTTCTTCCCATGACCTAGCTGTTCCCGCCCATCTCTCTTCTTAGCACTCCGAGCTGCTCACTCCATATGCCGCCTGGACAACACGACCCCTGCCCAAGCTCTAGGAACAGGCCAGAGGTCAGCAGCCAGGGTTTCCTGTATCCTAAGAGCCCCAGCCACGAAGGTCTCACTAAAAACAAACCAGAGTATTCTAGGAAGGCTCCCTGGGGGAGGTGGCACTTCTGCCAACCCATCCCCCTTACCCTGGCTCCGTTTCCCGAGTGAGTTCCAGAATGTCTCTCCATGAGTGACCCCTGGCTGGCTGGATGACAGGTTCCCAGATGCAACATCATCTCGGTCCTTCTGCTGGGTTCCAGATTCAGTCACTCAGGCCAATACTAGGAAGGCACCCCTTTCCCCGCCCACCCACCGGCATCCTCTCAATCCCACCTCTCCCCCATGTCACCCCGGCCACCCTCACTTGGCATCCGGCGATCTTTCCAAAGCACGATGTTTATACACCCTCCCCAGCTCCAAAACGGACACGCCCCCCCAGAGTGTATCTCATACCCTGTGAAACCTGCACTGCTCACAGCTCTGCCTCTCTGCCTGCGCCCCTGGAGGCCCCAGGCCCAGCTGATTCCTCACGCCCTGTCCCCCAGCCGGAAGCCAAGCTCCTGACTTCTCACTGGGTCCCCAAACAAGTACAGGGCCCCCAGACAAGTACTGGGCCAGCACTGGGAAGGCTCAGGGTGTCTCTGGCCTGGGTGAGAATCCCCTGCAAGACCCTGCAGCCCCTCCACCAGAGGTCCTTAGGAAGCACCCCAACACGGTCCCAGCCCCGGCCCCCACTCCATGGCCACTCTCCAGGCCCCACAGAAATACTCACTTTGGCTCCAGGAGGACCGGGCAGGCCGGGGTTGCCATAAGGCCCAGGGGGACCCTGAAAGGGGAAAGAAACAAAAGGTGAGAGAAAACAGGAAGCGGTCCCACCTCCAACAACGTCTGGGACCTTCCTTCTGACCACCAGGAACATCTTCTGCTAAAGCCTACGTGGCCATGGCTAATCACCTCCGTGCCTAGCCCTGCAAGAGCACCTCCCGGATCTTATCTCCTTTCCAATTAACGCGTGTGGCATTACTTTGGAGAGAGGAAGTCAATGCTAACAGAGGTTTGTAACTGTCTCGGTCACTCAGCTGCTACTGGGCAGAGCTGGACCTTGATCTCTGAGTGCAAGCCCTTAACTTCTAGATTCTGCCGCCTCTCCACACCCTCTTGGCCTGGCCCCATCCGCCCTTCCCAGTTTCCTCGAGCTCACGCCACACTTAGCTATTTGCTTCTCTCCAACATGCCCAGTCCTGCTCTGCTCACCACCTTGGACATACCCTTCCCGTCATGGGGCACGCACATCTTGCCCATCCACCCTTTCTGACCGGAACCAGACCCATCCTTCAAGTCCTGGCTCAAAGGCCTCCCCCAGCCTAAAGAGGCCTCTCCACCCTTTGGACTCCAGCTGGACTTTTGTACGGGGTTTTGGGGTTCAGAGCTCACAGAGGGTGCACCTGACCTCTTTGGGACAAGGGTGCATCGCTGTGGCCACAGTACATGGCCAGAGCTCCCCTGAGGCTGCAGGGCCTCCAGGGACCCTGAAGCAGGACCCAGACAGTCCAAGAGCTTCGGTCAAGGTTGCAGAGCAGAGCTGCGGCCTGTGGGAGTGGGGTTTCGAGTGTTCGTGCTCAGACCCAGTTATTCGTAGCACTGGAGCTTCCCGGGCAGCTCTGCGTCCCCCCAGCAGCTGGTTCCTGTCCTGTCCACTTTCTCCAGCAGGAGCCTGGCTGCTTTCCTCCAGCAAAGCCACACAAGCCCTCAGAGTCAGGCCACACCAGGGGTCTCTGCCCAGCAAGAACAGTCTGGGGCAGTGGGGGTGGGAAGGGGCACCTGGAGGGGTTACTGTCCCCAGATCCCACTGGCTGGGTGACACAGGCCCTCACCCCAGCCCTTCTTGGTGCATCGGGGTGGCCGTACAGACTTGCCGTCTTCCCTCCTCTCTGAGGCCCGCTCCCCAGCTGCAGCCGGTCACATTCCATCCGAGGCACCTCCCTCTTCCTGAGGCCTGAACTGGGACCCTCCCCTTCTCTGAAGGCTTCAGGAAAGAAGAGTGTCCAGAGTGCACTCGGCCTGGGGAATGGTTAACTGCCACGTGTGACCCTCCTGCAAGGACCAGCCCTCCCACCCCCTCCCGCCAGTCCACCAAACATGGAATCCTGGCGCACAGATGGAACACGGATGTGGCAAGCCCTGGTCCTCAGCCTGCGACTTCCCGGTCCCAGCCTCAGTCTCCCATCTCTCCCGGGAATGACTGGGTCCGGGAGGTCGCTAAGGAATCTGGAAAACCTACAATGTTCAGCCCAGGGGGATCCTGGGTCTGGCTGCAGAGCTCAGGCTGGGGGGGCGGGGTTGGGGAGGCTCCCTGACACCCAGCTCCCTTCCCTGGGACCAAGGTGGGCCCTGCAGGGCCAGGAGTGGCTGCCTCCCCTCAGTTGTGCCCCCAGCTGCCCCACAGATGGGAGACTGGAGCTCTCAGCTGCCCCATCTGCAGCCTGTGAAGGTGGGGGCTTCCTGCTTCCCTGCCCCACTCTCCCCCCGGGCCTTCTCCAGCCACTGCCTTGCAGAGAGACGAGGCCCATAGTTGACTGGAAGCCAAGCAGACTGATTCTATAAATGTCGCAGCCCAGGGAGTGGGTGCAGGGAGGGCTCAGGGATTCTCCCACATCCTCGAAGGGCTGGGGGAGTTCATGGAGATGGGAAGGTGCAGGTGACCTCAGATAAGACCCCGTCCCTCCCGAGGCCCAGGCCTGCCGTCTGTGCAGGGCAGCCCTGGGGTTGCTGAAGGCAGCTTTCTATTTATCTTTGGAATTTTCTGATCTATGGAATTTCCAGCATAGAAACAGGATGGTGGGGGTGGACGGCCAGAGCCAGAGGCACAGCAACGGTCATCGCCCGGGTCTGGGCGGGACTGTGGGCAGGCCTTCCCGTGACCCCAGGGTTCACCCACAGGGAAACTGAGGCCAAAGAGAGGAATGGGATTGGCCTAAGATCCCACAGCTTCGGGGAGAAAATGCTCTTGACTTCCAGGGTGGAAGGCTTTCCAACCATTTTCCCAGCCCCTCTCCCACCCCCTTGGCTGGGCACGGTGGAAGACAGAGGGGAAAATCAGGCCTGTCTCCAACCTGGGGAGCTCACTCCAATAGATAGAAAACGGCGCCCGGGTCAGACTGCCCGGCTCAACCCGGCTCTGGCATGTACTCTCACTTCGTTGAAAGCGGCTGAAGCTCTCAAGCCTTGGATTTCTCAGACGGGGGATGACCTGGGAACCTACTCCTCAAAGGCTCGGGAAGCTGTAGTGAGATCATGCCTCTAAGCAAAGAGCTCAGGGTCAATGAGAGTTTTTAGAGCGTGATCCGTGTCATCCGGGGTGGCAGGTACATGGCTGCAGAAACTCTGGGGAGGGGACAGTCTTCAGAAAAGGAGGTGGCATTGGATCTCAGGTATAACTGGAGGAGCCGCTTGCAAAGGAGGGCTGCCAGGTACAGAGGAGGGTCCAAGCAGAGGTGAGGGGCTGGAGGCCCCAGGGAGAGCTTGGGAACAGGGGGGCAGACTGCCGGGGCCTAGAGGGCAAGGTCAAGGGGCCTCATGCTGGTCCAGACTATGAGATCCTACGGCTGGCAGGGCCCATGACACCTGTGTGTCCTCAGCTCTGGGCATGTGCTTCCTGGAAGTGCTAAAAGCCAAGAGGAAATGTGGCTTCAGACAGCAGATTCCAGAGCCCTGGGCCCAGACAGCACAGGGCCAGGTCTGCAGGGAACGAGGCTCCAGTAATTGCATAACCAGAACCAGCGCTAAAAATATGCCCCAGGCCGCTACCTCTGCCAGGGCCTCACCAGGCACCCAGCGTGGGAAAGGCTGATTCAGCCTGACACAGACGCGATGCCATTGGTCCCTGTCCCTCAGAAAGGGGCAGGCTTCCCTCTTAAGGGTCCTCCAAGTGTCCCAGAACATGAATAAGAGGCTAGACTCCAGGTCTGGATTGGAGAGACGCTGTTTGGTTTTTCTGGTCCCTAAGATGTGAGTGACCAAAGGTCGGGGCTGCGGGTGGGGGTCAAACAGGCACCATAAATGACATGCAGGGCCCAGGCAGAGGTGCTGTTGTCACTCTGAGGCTTGGGCCAGCTCCTATCAGCCCCGCAGCTCAGCCCAGCTGTCCTCCAACCCCCCTCCCAGGACGGGGAGCCCAGCCCCTCCCTGGCAGGGCACATCCAGTTGACGTGTTGACGTGTCAACATCCCTATCCCAGGATGGCCCTGGAGAAATGGGAAGACACACGCAGCTGTCACATCCTCCCCAATAAACACCGAAGCCTGTCAGCTCAGGGAGATGGTCTTCAGGAGCCCCTTCCCCACCTCAGGCTGCAAGGGGTGAGGCCCACAGTGGGCAGCTGAGGCCCTGAGCGGTCACTGCTGTCCCATGCCATGTCAGTCCACAGAGCAGCCCCAGGAGCCCCAGGCCCCCGCCATGCCCACAGTGGAAAGCAGGGGGTGGAGAGGGACGGGGAAGGGCCTGAGGAGACACCGCAAGCTGGGACTCGGGGGGCGGGGGCAGGAAGACGCAGGCCAGAGAGCCACCCAGAGATCCAAAGGACAGCGTGTGATCACTCACCCGAGGTCCCCGTGTGCCGGGAGGTCCAGGTAGTCCAGGCAGCCCAGGGGGACCCTGAAGAGACAAGAAGACAGTGTCAGACAGGGCCAAGTGGCAGCCAGGAGAGGCACCAATCAGCTCTGGACATAGAAACCTGTGGCCACGGGGAGGGTCCCTGAGGTCACCGCCCGGAGGAACTCACACTCCTGGGTCTTCCAGGCCTTTCAGAAAAAGCCACCACGCCTTCCCCGTCTTGGAAGCCCTTGTTCCTTGTCACTCAGCTGGCTCCGGGGGCTTCCCTAACCCCTTCCCCAAGTCCCCTCCCCTCCCCTTTAAAGAGCACTGTGTTACTTGAGGAAATATCTGCCTAGAAGCCCGTTTCTCCCACCACATCATGGTCTCCTCAAAATAAAAAACTAATGGGATCTGAGTCATCTCTCCTTCCCCAGGGCTCAGCCAAATGTTTGATTAAATAAAACAGCAAGAAATCTCAGAGTTCAGCCAAGTTCTCTGCAGAGCCAAAGCAGACTAGGGACTTGGCCAAGGTCACATCAAGCATTCTTGCACCCTGGAGAGACCGTGAGCTTACACACACAGGGTTTAAACCCCCCATCATCTAGTAGCAAAGTTAGGCACAGTACCACATATCACCACATAGTTGTTGCGGATTTTATGGCTCTTCTTTATTTTTGCAAAAAAGTGGGGTGCGACATTAGGTGAAACTTCTTTTTAAAAAAAAAAAAAAAATTGTTCTAGTTGGGTACAGTGATGCCTGTAATCCCCGTGACTCAGGAGGCTGAAGCAGGAGGATCGCAAGTTCAAGGCCAGCCTCATCCTAAGCAACTTAGTGAGACCTTATCAAAATAAAAAATAAAAAGGGCTTGGGATGTGGCTCCATGGTTAAGTGCCCCTGGGTTCAATCCTGGGTACCAAAACCAATTTAAAGCTTGTGCTAGTATTACTTAAAAATCATTTATTACTAAACTTTGGTGCAAGATGAGGATGCGTGGAATATCTGTGAACACGTACTAACGCAGTGGCAATGACTCCATGGTGAAATATGGTAACCAGCCTGTGCCTGGAGAAGGAACCACACACCCCACATGGGCTGTTTCAAGGATGATGAGACTGTCCGTGTCTAGTGCAGTGTGTGGTACATACTGGCACTGGAGTGTCCCACCATGTCCACCCTTTACCGTGGCCCCTGCAACAGCGCCTGCGGCCTGCCTGCCTCCACTCTGTCCTCCACACAGCCTCACTCCCTTTCCCAAGCCACTCCCTTGCTCAACGACATTTAATGGCTCCTCATTTCCCAAAAGAGAAAGAAGGCAAGTTGGGCATTTAAGATGCGCACCTGTCGGCCCTCACCTCCCTTCCATTCCCACAGAGAGGGAGGAGGCGAGCCGACTCAGCTTCCTTCCACTCCTGATTTTCAGAGCCGGGGACTCTATGCAATCCCGTCCACCTGAGTCTCCAATGTTCCCCTTTAAAATGGGTCCAATCGCTCCTGCCCCGTCCACCCCGAGGAGCCAACGAGCATTAACTGCGGTGCCTGGTGTGATGAACTGGGCCTGAAGCCTTCGAAGGAAGCCAGGCTTTCGAGGATGTGTGAGGCCTGGGGAATTCATTTGTTTCAAATAACCATCAGCGAGATTCCAGGTTTCCTGCCCAGAGTTAAAATGGGCCGCGTTGAGAACTCAGCCCGCTCTGGTGGTAATTAATCCTGATCTCACGCTGGGCAGCCCGGCTGGCCTGGCCTGGGAGCACCACGTGCTTGTCGGCCCCTGAATAAAACCCAGAGAGATCCAGACGGGCAGCTACGGGCACCAAGGCCCGCGGTCCCTGGGCAGGAGCCCCAGGGGAGGGAGGATAAGCTGCTGCCCGGTCACCGAGGAGTCCCAGCAGCCACTGCACCTCTGGGTTCCTCCAACCAAGCCGGCCCCCGGGGCTGGGAGGACGGACTCTAGTCCCACACCCAGGCGGGTCCCAAGGGCTTGGGATCGGGCCAGTCCACCCTCCGGTCCCCCCAAGCTGGCTTGGGTGCAGGAAGCAGAGTGCAGTGTGGGGGTCCTAGGCTCACGTTGGGCAGCACCCCTTCCCAGCTGCGCGGTTTGGGGGAAGCTCCTTCCAGTCTCCCAGGCTCGCTTCTCAAAGTGTCAGATGAGGATCGTGGTAGCACCTACCCGCAGATAATCTATAAAACGTGCTAATCCTGGTGCCTGGCACGCAGTGAAAGCTCAGAAAATGAGTTATTTCTGTTAGGCACACTCCTGGAACTGGCCCGCTCGAAAGTTTAATTGCCCCCCTCCCCCACTACTGCCTCTGTTTTGGAGAGAAAGCCAAAGATGTCCCTCCTTAGAAGACTGTTCTTGGCCCAGTTCTCCCAGATGACCCAGAAATAAAAGAAATCACTGGAGGATACAGCTAAGCATGGCTGGAAGTATACAATACCCTTTCAATGGATAAGAAACCAGAGAGGGACTCAGAGAGGCAAAGTGACTTGTCTAAGGTCACACAGCTAACAAGAGGCAGAGCCGGGGTCATTGGACCTGTTCTCCTACCATGGGCAACACTATCAGGTGTGTCTCTGATGAAGTATGTGGCCTTAACGAGGTCCCTCCCACTCTGTGTTCATCTGGCAAAGGAACATTCTAGAGCCTTCCAGACACAGGCACTTCCTGAGCTCTGGGGGCCAGGTAGAGACAAGAACAGTCAAATCATTTCCACCTCGAGGAGAAGGTCAAGGGCCAGAGGAGAGAGGAAGGGGCAGTTCCGGCTACGGGGCGGCCATAGCTCAAAGGCCTGGACACTCCCTCTTGGCATCTGTTCTGCCCCAGAAACGGGGGCATCCAGGCTAGAGTCTGACCTCACCCACAACATCTGCAGAGCAGACTCCGAGTGCCACTCAGGACCCGGGGCCAGCCTGGTGATGTCAGCTCACAGCCCAGCTCCCTGACATGGCAGCGCCGGCCCCCGCTGCGGGCCTGCCGAGCCCTCCACCCACCGCCAGGGCCAGGGCCACAGCTGTCCGCAGGCCCGAGCGCCCCTGTTAGTGCTCACTTTGTTCGCGGCCTGCGAGGGCGGACCCCACCCCCCGGGCCCCTCGGCCCTGGCCCAGCCCCTGCCTGTTCTGCACACAGCGGAACATGCTGCCGCTACTTTCCAGGGCCTGAAGCCTGAGCGGGTGGCTCCGGATGATTCACAGGCCGGGGTGGGATTTTCCACTCCACACCGCAAACAACAGGGCCTCTGAGAGGGCCCAGGGCTGAGGGGGTGGACAGCGGGGGCTGTGGGCCGCCTGGGGGAGGGGGAGGAGACCTGGGCTCTCTGGGTGCACGCAAATGGCCCCCTCCGGGCCTCCCCCAGGGTCCTGGCCTCCCACAGCCAGGCCCGGGGAAGCCCATCCCTCGGAACAAGTCCCCCTTGTGTCCGGCTGAGCAGCCCGCCCGCCAGGCCTTGCCGAGTCTGTGCTGGCAGGCACCTCCCCTGGCAGCTGTCAGGCCAGGGGACCGTTTACAGGCCTGGGATTCGGGGACGGAGTCCAGGCCGGGGCGTGCTCTCTGCCATGTGGCCCTCTCGGTCTCGGCTCTGCGTCTGTACCTGACTGGGTGGGCAGGAGGTCTCCAAGAGCCCCTCAGACCATCTGAGCTTACGGTTATTCCCAAGAACAGCTGGGTCCAAGTTCCTCAGTAGGAATCCAGCACTGAGTGGCCCCGTGCGCGTCCCTGGTCTCCCGGGGCCTCTGGGCCTCGGTTTGCTCAGCTGTGAAGTGGGGATGGCGCCCTGTGTGTGGGTTGTTCTCCCTTTGCCCTCGGATCCATTCTGACCCTGGGAGCCAACCCCCCACCAGCTGGCCCTGGTCCCCTTGCCTCCAGCAGATGGGCCAATGGGAGACCCAGGCAAGTCCAGAGACAGGGAAGGGAACATGTCATTTCCCCCTGCTGCGCTCTGCTGCAGCTGGTGTCAGCTCTCCCAGGGACGGTCAGGCCTGGGTGTCAGGACCACATCCTGTAGGTAGGACCCAGCTTCCTCCCAAGCTGCCTGCACCTCT